TTTGCGACTTTGTCAAATTTACAAAATTTCAAGTTTATAAAAATTCCCAGAACTAACGTTTTTGCCAAATTTACAAAAGTTCGCATAATCTGGAAAATTTTCAAAATCTTTATACTTTCTTGCACTATTTAGCGGTGTACTTTTCTTTTGGTTTTTTAGTTTTCCAGAACTTGTAAATTTGGGATTTTTTTCGAGTTGTCAAATTTACAAAAAATCCCAGAGCTCACACTATTTAGCGCTGTTTTTAAATTAATATTTAAATCCTAGGCTACCTTTTTTTGCTTTTTATATACTTTTTCTTTTTAATTTTAATAAAAAAATTCCAGAATTGTTTAGGACGAAATTTCCAAAAATTCCCAGGATATGGGATTTTTTGCCGTGTGCCAAATTTTAAAAACATTCCAACCTTAAGAATTAAAATAATAATTAGGATACCTTCTTGCACAATTCAGCCAAACTTATATATAATTCCCAACATAAAGTTAATTTTTTGTATCTGGACTGCGGCAACGTTGCAAATTAAGGGAATCAAATCTGGTTGCAACACTGAAAGAAATATATACTAAAGTTAAATAAAAAAATAATTAGGGCAAATATATTTTATGTTTCATATATAGACAGGGCCGAGCCGTGCCGGGGGTGCAAGGGGTGCATGGCACCCGGGCGGCACTAACACAGGGCGGCAAAATATCATCATATTATCAAAAATAAAAAAGCCACCTTGCAATATGCAAAAAACTTTCTAAAAATCACTTGCGTTTTATTGATGTCGCCGTTTCAAGGAATCATAGTTTTTATTCACATAAAAACAATGCCAAAATTGTGCTGTCAGGCGGCAATGATAAAAAAGACATAACCGAACGCGCGATAGCCACAAAAAATGATGATGACAATTTTCTTAAAGCCCGGTTTATAGATTGCCGCCCGCCCGCTTCGCTTTCCGTCCGTCCGCTTCGAGTTCGTCAAGTTTCATGTTTTACGGAAGCGGGCTTACGGGAAACCAATCCAATCGCGCGCTGTGTACCACGTGATATTGTTTACAAGCTGAACTGTTAAGTTAAAGCATAATTTCTTCCGATTTGACTGCTGCGTATTTCAGCAATTTTTAGTTTTTCTATTAACGTGAGGCAAATAGGATGCAAACATAGTAGTTTCTTTTGTCTTTTAATGCGTTTAAGTTAAAAACTAGTTAATGATTTAAAAGGCATCTTTCCGAATTTATTTGTAGCTTTAAAAATATTTTTGACGATGCCAGTTACTGTTGCCCATGGAGAGCGGTCATTTTCGAAATTAAAACTAATTAAGACCTATTTAAGATCCAATATGAGTCAATCCAGGCTTTCAAATTTAGCAATTGTAAGTATTGAAAAAGATATTTCTAACAACTTGGATGTAGGCGACTTGATTAGGGAATTTGCTATTAAAAAAGCGAGAAAAGTAGATTTTAGTTTTTTAGTTTAGTTTAATTATTTTTGTTTTTTTTTCCTGAATGTATTTTTATTTTATTCTTTTATGTATTTGTTAATAAATACTTTGTTATTTTACTATAAAATTTGTTATATGTTTATTGAGAATGATAAATTATGAACTCCTTCCCTACCGACAACCTAATTGTTTTACATTAATGGGGGCGGCAAATTTAATTCTTGCACCCGGGCGGCAGATACCCTAGGCTCGGCCCTGTATATAGACTACCACATACATTGCTAAAACAAATATATTCGTTTGGTTAGCAGCCTATTGCTGCCCTAGCAATATAAATGGTGTTTCTAGCAATATTTTTTTGCTGTAATTCACTTATAGTTTACATTTTATAGTAAGGGTAAGTTTATTTTTATTTAGATCTAACATATCTTCTTTACAATAAATGTATTACAAAATTTACCATACATTCATAATAAACAGTAGTATAAATGTGTAAAGCACTAGTATAAAATTTTTAGTATAAATTTGTATTTACTTTTAGCAACAAATTTCTTTCAGTGAATGATTAAAACAAACAAAACTAGTAAATGTAATTATAATGTAATTATTGTAAGGTTTAAAATATTGTAGGTTACATTGAACGGTTGTCAAGTTGAGTCTAGTTGAGTTGTCAAAATTCGTAATTAGAAATGCAATTAATTTGCCTTGGTGGTGCGTAGATAAGTAAAATCATATAAAAAAGTAGTTAAATATAGGTGACTACGGCCCAGGAGTAGAGATGTAAAAAAACGGTTTTTTTTCAGATGTGAAAAAAAACATGAAAAAAAACCTAGAAAAAAAACGGTTTTTTTTTGTTTTTTTTTCAAAATGAAATATTGAGTAAAATATATATTAATAATAAAGTGAAATGTAGAATATATTAAATTTTTCATTATTGAAAATTTTGACCGAGACTAAAAAATCTGATTTCTTATAATATATTATTTGGTAGTTTCCACATTAGAAACCAGTAGCAATGTAAAACTTCTACACCAATACAAAAAATTAAAGGATAAAAAAAATTGTTTTGCGATTCTTCGGATAGCTGTATCTTTGTTAAAAATGGTCGTATTGGAGCCGTAAAAAAAGCAATTTGAAGCTTGAAGTTTCTAGTTTTGCGATTTTTAGATAAAAAATGTGCAACGCTCAATCCTAACAAATGCCGTAATAAAAAAAATTGATTTTTTTGGCTTTCTGGTCCACGGAATGTTCTGACTTAACCACCAATGAATAAATGTTCTACAAGAATTTGCTATTGTTTTTTTGAAATAAAAATTTCCATTCTCTACATGAATTTGAAAAATCATGAAAAAAGTGCATTTGGTAGCATTTTGAAAAATCAAGCGCTGAATCAAAAATATTATGTAGTTACTTTTTTTAGGACCAAATCAAAACAAGGGCGGCCCTTATTGGTCAATTCGGTGGTGGTGGCGCGTGCATAGCGCGAGACTGTATTTACATTTACTAATTGTCATTTAGTGTCTAATTTTAGTCCATGAAACCTAAAAAATTAGGCAAATGGGACTAATCTTGAAAAAAAACCTAAAATGTGAAAAAAAAACCATTTGAAAAAAAACAATGAAAAAAAACCTGAAAAAAAAACAAAAAAAACGGACCGTTTTTTTTCAAGTCGCATCTCTACCCAGGAGAGACAAAGTATTCCTAGCTGATAATATTTGCTTTGAAAAGAATTTATATAAAAGAAATTAAAATTTGATGTGAACACACGTCAGTGTTGTGCAATCATTGGACCCCAATGATGAATGGGTATTTTGTTAAACCCACTGGGTGGTTATACTCGAGATCGTTAATACTTGTAGTGGCTTAATAATAATTATAATGTATATATTGTCCAGGACTTTTTATGATCAGTAAGTTGCAAATTGAAAGAAGACAAAGTTTCATGATTATTGCTCGTTATTGCTTATCTTTTTCAAACCAAATGGATGCTATTTTTAAAGACAGGCAAATTAACTACTAGATTTTTCACAAAAAAGTTGAACCCAACAGGAAATAATTTTTTTTTATTTCGCCCTTATTTTTTTAAATTTTCAAAAATTTTGATCTGCTTAGCTGAATATAATGTGTGATTTAATATTTGTAAAACCAAAAATGTCCATAAGGCGATGTACTTTTTCTGCCATTGAGGCATTTGGTATAACTTCATCGAAATGAAGTTTTGCCCTTAAAAGTTCTTTTACTTTAGAATCTTGGCATAGTTATATCTTTTTATATCGATAACAAGTAAATTATCAATAATAAATGAAGTTTTGCCCTTAAAAGTTCTTTTACTTTAGAATCTTGGCATAGTTATCTTTTTATATCGATAACAAGTAAATTATCAATAATAAATTTTACTGTCAATTTGACTGTCAGTATTTAATTAAGGCCTTCAGCAAAAGTACAATTTTTTAAATACTAAAAATACTAAATCAAACTGGCATAAGCTACCATAGCTAGGTAAACTTAATATTATGGCGACTCAAATAAATCTGGCCGGAGTCCAAAAGGTGTGTAAAATATTCAAAACGCTTCTTTTTATATCCGTCGAGTTGAGTTTTACGACGTTTTAAAACAAATGGATTCCCCCTTTTAAATCTATAGTGTTCCGTACATTAATTCTACTAAAAATCGTTATATTTAGGCAACTAAACGTGATGTAAAGTCGATAAGAGTATATATTTTTCGTTGTAAATATTTCTTTACTTTTTATTAAGAAAAAATAAATAAAAATCAATTGCGCACTTTAGCTTACAATTTAGTCTACGATTTCGTGCAACTATGGACTTGCTCCCTTTAAATTCCCAGTAATCGGTGGACTGCTTCGCGGCGGTAAATTCTTGCGACATGTTAATTACCGGCTTGCCGGCATTATGGCCGGTAATTGTCCGGCACCGTAAATGGATTATATTGGTGTTTAATTGTCATCGAGGAGAAACTTGCTGTTCTGCTTAAGACCGATGCAAAAAAATGCATCGTAATTTTGCTTACGTGACGTTGTTAAAGACACCTCGGAATTTTTAGCTGTTCTCAATCAAATTGCAAAAAGCTTAAAAGGGTATAAAAGACTGGCGAATGATTTTTTTAAACGTCCTATTGATAAATCATTTTTTAAAGGTATTATAAATTTTCCACTGTTTACTTTTTACTTATTTACATAAAAATATTGTATAAAATGTGACACCCACCCATTATTAACAAAACAAACACCATGTATCACGTCGTTTGTGTGCACAGTTGTTTAAACTTAGACTCTATAGAGCCTATGGGCTTTAGGCAGATTTAAATTATTTACCATTAATGCTATCTGAATTGTTCGGGAGATTAATTAAATTTTTACGTGTTTACAGTCTAAATAAAGGTTAACATGTTATTGGTCATTTAATCATTCATAATGATAACACGGCTAACTGCGTTTCTTCTGTAGATGAAGCTGAAATGTGAAGCTTATATCGATGAAATCAGTGTGGAAAAAATGTTCGAAATTTATCGAGTGTTTTTGTGTATAAGTGTGCGATAAAATTTGTTCACAATAGCTATCATAGTGCGCTTAGACTCTCAAGACCACGAGAGTGCGGGCCAGGATGGAGTGGTCGAAAAAAAGGAGAAAGAAGGGCACCAGGAGACGGTCGACACACCTTTAACTTCTCCGTCGGACGATTTGCCGATACAGGTACAGAGCTCTAACTTATTAATTTAATAATACTTATACTGATACCTTAAAATAAAAATCATAAATTGTCAATGAACAAAAAAAAATACGATACCCATGTAGGTAACCAAAGGGCCCAGGCTTGGCCCAATTCTGCACTACTGTGGTCTAAGCTTTGAAGGTTGACTGGGACAAGGTTGGCTGGCAAAAACAGACCAAAGCTTGGGAGCTAAGGCTTGGTCTTAAAAGTCTGGCTGAAGCTAGGTCAGAGGCTTGGATACCAAGACTCGGTTTTGAAAGCCTGACTGGGGCTTGGCCACAGACTTGAAAGCCTAGACTTGGCCTTAAAATTTTGGCAGAAGCTTTGTTAGAGACTTGGGATCCAAAACTCGGTCTTGGAAGTCTGGCTGAAGCTTGTTGAGAAACTTGTGAGCTAGGACCAGGTCTTGAAAGTCTGGCTGAAGCTAGGTCAGAGACTTGGAAGCCAAGACTTGCTTTTTAAAGCCTAGCTAATACGAGAGAGGGCAACCCAAGGTACACAAAAATACAATTTAGGCCTTTTTGCAATTGAGTAAATCTAAATTTATATTCCCATAGAAAAAACATTGGTATTTGTAAAATTTAAAAACATTCACTAATAAAAAAGTTGTAGAACCTTAAAGTTGACCAAGTTTAAAATCAATACAAATTATTATTTTTTCTTTAAAATTATTCAAGTTTGAATAGCTGTAACTTGAAAAATAATAAAGATTTTTTAATATAAGATATTTAACTATCTTTACATTTTATAGTTAAAAAATAGCAACAAAAAAGTTATTTATTAACAATAATCCAAAGTTTAGCACTTTGGATTATTACTGAACTTCTATGTGTATAATGCGGTATGAGGTATGAAGCGCGTTATAGTGCGTGTTAATTATGTATTTAAAAATTTTATAGAATTTTTTTCTTTCCTAATAATATAATTTATTTTAATTTAATTTATTAGTTAGAATATTTAAATATATGTATAAATAGGGATTAACGTACATAACGTAGAATAAACAAAAATTTTTTTAGGAAGGTTTATTATTAATATAAATATTAACAAATATAGGTAGTAGGTATTTTTCTTCATAGACTTCTAACAACCTCCGAAAGAATATTTTTAAAAAAGAACTAAACGAATTTAGATCCTACATATACAGAACTGTTATAAGTAAATTTACTGCAGACAAAATATTCTTTGGAGTATATTTTTATGAGCAATTATTATTATTATTTCTCTTCCAAGCCACATATTAATAGTCAAACGCAAATGCAATTTTATGTATTATAATTATCTTATTAAATAATTTAAAAAATTAATTTATTGTTAAATATTTTTGATTATAAATAAATAAGATTTCAAGTTATTAAATCTTACCAATTACGAACTTTTACAAAATTTTGATATTTAAACCATTATACAATCGCCGTCACTGATCCAATTAAATTCAAATTTGGAAAGAATAAAGAATATTTATATGTCAAACTAGTGTTAAAATTTCAAGAATATATTTTTAATATAAACTGCGCACCACTCAATGTGTCGCGACCAAAAAGTTCGTTCTTTTTCAAAACGACATAACTTTTTTGTTTCTTGAACGATTTTATTTTTGTCTATGATGTCTCCTAGCCCCATCCTCTGGCAATTCATGATATAGATATGAAGCTCAAGGTTCTTCAAGTAAATTTCCTACAGGGTGATATGTTAAACGGTGAAAGTTTTCAATAACTTCATCCAAGCCCCGTTTGTAAAAAAATATTTTTTTTTTGCGTTTTTATTTTGAAATAATGAAGTATTATGTCTTACATTGAAACGTTTTTCAAATTTTTTGAATTGGAATCGTAGCAACGAAAATATGATTTTTTTTTCTAAAAGAGTACATTTAAGGCTTTTTTTGTAGGCAATTTAACAGCCAGGAATTGTTTTCGAATTTTGATTCTTAGTGATTTTGGTTTTATCTGAAACTTAAATTTGACAACTGAATCACAAGCAGGAGGTCAAAATTATAAAGAAAACATGTTACGAACGTAAATATCGGTTCAGGATTGGTTTTCGCAAATTTTCACCAAAATATCATTTTAAAAAAGTTGTCTTTGCTTAGGCCCCTCTGAAAATAATGGAAGTTTGTTGCTTGTCGCTTGTTCAGAATTATTCAAGGAACAATCTTTCACCATCTTATCTCCTTGTTCTTAAAAATACTGAGTGTATTGCCTACCAAAAAGCCTTAAATGTACTTTTAAAAAAAAATCATATTTTCTTTGCTAAGATTCCAATACGAAAAAATTGAAAACCTTTTCAAGGTAAGACATAATACTTCATTATTTCAAGGTAAAAACGAGAAAAAAATTATTTTTTTACAAACGGGGCTTGGATGAAGTTATTGAAATTTTTGACCGTTTTACATATCACCCTGTACGAAATTTACTTGAAGAACCGTGAGCTTCATATATATAGCATGAATAGCCAGAGGATGGGGCTAGCAGAAATCACAGACCTAAATAAAATCGTTCAAAAAACAAAAAAGTTATGTCGTTTTGAAAAAGGACGAACTTTTTGGTCGCGACACATTGAGTGGTGCGCAGTTTAGTTTTAAAAATAATAATAATCTTAGTTTAACAAATTTTGAATCGTTTAAACCCTTATAAAATGGCCGCCACTGAGCCAATTCAATTAAAATTTGGAGAGAGTTAAGATTATTTAATAATTATTATTTATAAATAATATTTATATAAAAAACTTGTGCTAAAAATTCACAATAATAGTTTAAATAGTTTTAAAAATATTTGGATTTTTAACACACTTTAACAATTTTTAAACCCTTATAAAATCGCCGCCGCTGAGCCAATTAAGTTAAAATTTGTTCAGGATTAAGATTAATACCATTATGGTAACTTAATTAATTTTTTTTTAATGAATTTTGGCCACTTTTTTTGCCATTCCAGTCCACTGTGGTACAGCTTGGCGTTTCCTACATGAGTATGTATTTAAATTTTTCAAAGAAAAAAAATACAAAAACTTAAAAATCCAACAAACAATCTAAATCTAAACAATCCCCTGACACTATCCGACCGGAACGGCACAGATTGATGTAGGACATGCCTGTGCCGCCGCTTCCGGGAGTGGTTAGCCTTCCCCCCACCCCTCGACCGAGATAGACCGCACATGGCGAGCGGCGGCGGCACAAAGAAACGTGGAAGAAGAGACGGCGGCGGTTCCTGATCGATAAGAGACCGCGACCGCCTCCGTGAGGAGCAGAAGGTGCTGCATCCGCACCCTTTTTAGATCCATGAGGTTGTGTTTGATTTAAAAATTATTAATTTAATAAAGGCAATTACACTCAGATCTGGTGATATAGCAGGCTATATACTTTAAAAGCATCCAATTTGATAAGAATCTCGAAACAATTTCAATCGCCAATAGCAGGCTATGTTAAATGTTAGGGTCAGGTGTCCAAAACACCTGTAGATAGCAGTTCGACATGTTAATTGCATGTTCGACCATGCACAACAAACAGTGGAGAACAGCTGTTACGGTAAAGTTGGTCGAACTTTGACCAAACACTTTAGATAGGCAACGTAACAAACTTACACTTGAAGGTTGATGTGGTTAAGATAAATGGTTAAAGGGGAAAATATAGCAATGGTAAACACGTTAACTGCCATCTTCTCGGCTTTACGATCATCCGTTTTGTGATCGAAAGTTTACGATGGCAATAACTTTGAAAGGCATTCAAAATTAAAAAGTAACATAGTGGTAACTTTAATGTTTTAAAGTGGCTGTAAACGGTATCTGGAGGATACATTCGATCGTGGTTATTATTATTGAGTGTATGGTTGAGTTTATTGGTTGTACTTTTTTATGGGGGAGGGAATGGACTTCTTAAATTAAGTATTTTTTACATAGGGAGTTAGTGGTCTAAAAGATAGTGGGTGTCTAAAAATTCGTAAGAAGCAGAAAAGGGGTGGATAGAGGTTGGGATTCTAAGGCGAATAGTCTTTGCCGTTTTTTGATCAGACGCACCATTAATAAGTTATTAATAAAATAAAGTAGCCAATCACAAGCGTGCTCTAGCAGAATGATTAGAGGTGGGACAACAAACTTTTGTAGAAATTCCATGGCTATGAACATATTTTATTGTGAAATGACCTTAATTTTATTTTTCACTATCACTGTCAGTGTTTTTGGGTTTTTAGGTTCAGGAGTAATGTTAATTTTTTTGTGTGGGACAAATAGACCTAGCTTTTCTTTTTGTTTTTTTATAACGACTTAATAAATAAGTTAATACAAGGTTTATGGTGATATACTTTACTTTACCTTTATTAGATAAGTTAAAATAATTATTTTATTAATATTAATAATAATTAATTTTAACATAATTATTTAATTAGAGATATTTGAATGAATATGTAATAATCATAATCCACACAACAAACCCTGTTTATCTTGTACTAAAAATCACTGCAACACTGCACAGAATCTAACGGCGGCCATTTTTATGTTTATACAGATTAAAAATCGTTTTAAACGTTGTTTCTTACAGAGGCACTTGTAAGCCTCAAATTAAGCATTTAAGTGCTAAGAACAACCATTTTAAACCTTATTCTATCAGGGCTGCCATCAAACTATCAAATTTAAATTTGTGGGTTATGATAAATTAACCTTAAAATTGAAATTTGACAGTTTAATGATAGCCCTGCACAGTGGTCCTCGACTAGCCATGGGTTGTATGAAAATGGCGCCAAAAAATGAGTTCGGATTTTGATAGGTATATCTATAAGCATTGAAAAATTCATCAAGTAAAATCGTAGCTGATCATTAACTTATTTTATGGATGTAACAATTTCGCATTTTTACATAGCCTTTAGATTCCTACAATTTTAAAAAAGTACTTTTTATTTTTACAGTGAAAAAAGGATATTAACCAAAACAAATTCACATATACTCAATATTTGTTACAAATGTCTAGAGGAGAACTCAACAACACCTTTTTTTAACTGGATTTGATAGCAAGGATCTTGTAAGAGATTTATTTTATATCGGTTCCAGTTCTTGACAAACTCTCTATGAATAGATTCTCCTGCTTGCTCTGACCATAAACCAAGTACACCTTCTTGAAGAAACTGCAAAGATTGAGTAATATATTCCAAAATGACGTGCAATTTAAGAGACTCTCTAAAAAGGAATTAGTCAAAAATGACTAATTTAGTTATTAGTGGCTTTTTCACTTGAACCATGGTTAACCATGAAATCCCAAAATTTAACAACCAATTCTTATGTAAAATTGTCTCCTGAATCCGAAA